AACTAGGATCATTGACATATCCAAGAAAGCGACGGCAAAAAAGATTTTATCACAAGCCAAGGATTTATTTTTTCCCAAAAATGAATCAAAGATAGGCATGTGGGAAGAGTTTATTCCCTCCATTGTTGACTTCCAGGAATCACCCCTCGATGAGAATGTTACAGTGGGAGAACTTTATGAAGCACATAAATTCGGTATACTACGCTTTTATTTGTCAACTCAGACGAATGCTGATGCAATATCCCAAGAAAAGGAGGAAGATCTTCACAGTCACACAATTGTTAACGTTACACAACAAGTAATGCAAGGAGACAGTTGTGATGAGCATTATGTCGCCTCATTTTTACCATCTTCTATATCAAGAGAAGTTGATATTGTGGACCTTACATCGATTTGTGACACGTCTGAAGTTATCATTGGTGCTACGCAAGGAGCAGTCATAGGATATCTTGATGATACAGTTCCACTTGAGGCCATAATGACTGATGAACCTCCAGATAATGCAGCACCAAATACCTCGACTCCCATAAGATTTGAGAGTGGGCCATGTCACCTGCCTGCTGTTCCAGTGGAATTGATGCATGTTACAATACATCTTCACAGAGTGAATTTGTTAGAAGAGCTGATCACACAATTTAAAGATGAATTGGTGTTGACCTGCCCAATTAAATACAGCTTTATTCATGAAAAGGGTTCAGATGCTGATGGAGTGTCCAGGGATGTGTATGCTGCCTTCTGGGTGAATTTTTAGACTGTGCTGCAGAGCGAGCGGATGTAAGAGTGCCTTCCCTGTCGCCAAAATGGCAGGAAGAAGAATGGCGTTCCGTAGGCAGAATCCTGATCAAAGGTTTTCAGGATCATGGATATTTTCCTGCTCGTCTTGCTCCAGCATTTTCTGCAGCTGTTATATTTGGCGAACACTCAGTGTCCCCTGATCTTTTGTTTGACTCACTTTTGTTATACTTAAGTCAGTCAGAGCGTGATCTCTTGGCAACTGCTTTGAAAGACAGTTTGGTTGGTGATGATCGAGATGAGCTCCTTGATATCATGGATCGGATGGGAGTGCGGACGGTACCAACACCAGATAATCTGAAGCCTATTCTCCTCCAAGTCGCACACAAACAAATAATTCAGCATCCAAAATATGCACTGGATAACATTGCTACAACAGCAGGACCCCGTCTCAGGGAGATGTTTGGAAGTATCCAGGAACTACAGAAAATGTATGATGATTTAAAACCAACAACACGCAAAGTTTTGAAGTTACTCACAGCCTCTCCGTCGACTCAAGCTGAAAACCAGAGTTTGAAAATTTTTCCATCAGTATGTAAGGGGATTGGATGACATGGGCCTGAGAAAGATGTTAAGGTATGTGACTGGCTCCGATGTAATCTGTGTCAAAGAAATTGAGGTGATATTTACAACTTTAGATGGGTTAGAAAGGCGACCCATCATACATACCTGTGGTCCAACTGTGGAGCTACCATCAACCTACAACAGCTTTCCTGAGTTGCGTGCAGAGCTGGAGGCTCTCTTGTACTCCAACATCTACACAATGGACATTATATAGATTTGAAATGCCATAACTCCTAAAAATATGTACATGTGTTTACATTGTTTTTGTACAGCTGTGATTTTAAAGGAGTAAAGTAATTGCTATTATTTTGGTTAAAGGCTTGTTAGCCACTTGGATATTCCCTGGCTAGTGCATTATTTCTATTCTTTGGGAAGTGTTCATGTATTTGAAAGGAATACCTTGAATGTTAAATTCAATAATTGTTACAGCAATAAGAAGTTTGCCTGTGAATGTAATGACAATGTCAGGACACACGTAATTGATTTTTTTTTTTTTTTTTTAGTATTGATGTCATGTAAAGAAACAAAACGAATGTTTGGGACTTTTTACAGGTTCATTGTAGTCCCCTCTGCACTTTTACCTTCTTCACATGTTAAAAATAAAAAAGACACTGTTTACACTGTCTTGTAAAAAACATGTGTCCATGTTGAAGTTAATGGTGAGACATTTTGCAGGTTTTCTTTATCAAATGTGGATATAAATGTAAGCACGTAAAAACCTGTAAAGCTCAATAGATTCCTCTGCTGTTGTGGGTGGTTTAAGATTGTTTTCTGCCATGGCATAGCAACAAATGTCAAATACTGTTTTATCACATGGTAATGGGCCTCTCTGGAGGCACTCTTCTTGGCAGGCCTGGATCTTTTCATGGGAAACGGCTTTAAGGTGTTCTCTTGCACCATACAGATGAGGTAGAATGTACATCATCACAGGACGTCCTGCTGGAGCTGCTGCATGCCTGGATCGACGAATTCTGTGGGTATTCCAGAGGTGGACAATCTCCTGCAGCTCCTTCTACAAATATAAAATGTTTGTATGGGCAGTTATGATAAAAGCAACACATTGCAAACTTCACTTATTCATATTTCGTTTTGATCTTAACTAAATTAAACATAACTATCCCATAACATAAGAGAAAGGAATTAGATTTATTTATAATAATAATGGATCGGTTTTATATAGTGCTTTTGTGGACACTCAAAGACGCTTTACATGTCATTATCCATTCACTCCATACACGGTGGTGATGAACTTCTACAGTAGCCACAGCTGCCCTGGAACACACTGACAGAAGCGAGGTAACCAGTCTGTGTCATCGGTGCCTCCGACCACCACCATTGATCAAGTATCATCTTAATTTCACTATGCACCTTATATGTATGGATGATTTTGAGTGCCACAATTAAATACTCATGAAATAATTTGTTTTAAATACATAACATTTTAAATAGACAATTGAATGTACTAATAATTAACTATTTATGGTGTCACTCCGACTATATGAGGTGGCAGAAATTATTTTTGTAGAAATACATTTCAGTAGTCTTTACTGATTGAATTGTATGTAATTTCTAACAAATATTCTCTTTAGATCAAACACTAGGGGGCGCAGTGCCACCTTTAATATCGCCAGTAATAATAATAACACGCACCCATCTATCCTAAAACTATTTAACAGAATTGTTGAATACATTTACCTCTATTAACTCAAGGCATGTGAACTGGACGAGATTTTTGTCCAGAAAGTCACCAGAGAAGTAGCCCGTCTCCTTTAGATCCTGAAATACATTCATCCAATACTGTGCGTGTTGCTTCCTTAGAAATCCCCACCACTGTTCAATGCGCTGATTGTGATTACTTGATCCCGTCAGGTAACTTCTCGTTGAGAAATCATCTGTGTGTTCATTTCTGAGGAAAACTTGCATCTGTCCAACATGACAGTTCTCTGTGCCCAGATTGGATCGTATTCTTGTGGCAGTTCCATTGCGTGATGACACCTGATTGATAAAGTATCCGGCTATTACCTTTGGGTCGCTGTTAGTGGAGAATGCATGTAACCATATCACCAGTCTTGAAAAGCCGTCCACTGCACCGTTTATGCAGATTCCATAGGGTTTAAGCTTGTCGTAAGAATCTATGTGCCACAAAAAGTTCGGTCCTGGGTTCTGATATATACGGCGGTGAAGACGATTTCTGCGTCTCAGCTCTACACCACATGGATCCAATATCTTTAGGAGGCGTCTGATTGTCTCTTGTGTCACAACGTATCCTGCTTGAATGCATTTCAGATGCATCATTTTGTAACCATGGAGTGAGCCGTGCTGGTTTAGCTGATCTTGGAGAAACAAGGCAACGTCCAGCAGGCTTGACTTCTCTTTACGCCTGAACAAACGCATCGACCTGAGATATCTTCTTAAAGTTGACAAACTGATCATTACACCATCTAAAGTTCTCAAGGAGATTAAGATTTCCCAATGCATTAACCCTAAATTAAAGTAAAATCGGATTAAATTGATTAACCGAGTCATTGTATTGCACTCAACATCAAGCTGATCACAGGATTTATGTGTCTCGTAAAAACAGGATTTATTTGTCTCGTAAAAACAGGATTTATTTGTCTCGTGAAAACAGGATTTATTTGTCTCGTAAAAACAGGATTTATTTGTCTCGTAAAAACAGGATTTATTTGTCTCGTGAAAACAGGATTTATTTGTCTCGTAAAAACAGGATTTATGTGTCTCGTAAAAACAGGATTTTTTTTAACTCGTAAAAACAGGATTTATTTGTCTCGTAAAATCAGGATTTTTTTTAACTCATAAAAACAGGATTTTTTGTAACTCATAAAAACAGGATTTATTTGTCTCATAAAAACAGAAACTTTTTTATTTCAAGTGAATGCAATAAGCTTCCGTACTTTGTCGAAACAATTTGAACTAATTAATACCGTGCTTACTCTAGTACTGTGGCGCTGAATGACTTATTTAATTATGTGGGCCTTGCGCCCTCTTCTGTATATGAAAAGTATTACTTTCATTGCAAATTCAATGCTAACGCTGTTTGTTCACACATTTTGATGATTTCTGTTGGCCTTACAGTGCAAAAACGTAACAGTATTTATACAATCTGTAAAGCTAAACTTCATTATTACGTTTTTCCTATGGCAAGCGTTAGAAAATACTAAGTTCTAAAATGTATGCTCACTCATTCAATCAATGAATAGGTGGATAGATTATGGTCTTTAAACGTTGCCATGGAGACGTTGCCATGGAAACCTCCGCTTAAGTGACATCATAAAGGATTATGTCATTTAGAAGGCAAGCCTTTGAGTTCACTGGTACTCAACCAGAGAGGGAGAGGACAGGGACAGACACGGAGGTAGGAGGTAGAAATAGAGACAGACAGAGACAGACAGAGGCAAACAGAGACAGACAGACGCAGACAGAGAGGGGGGAGAGAGGGAAGCGGAAGCAACATAAGTCGGCTTATTATTAAGATAAAGTTTATTTAGTTGAGTTGTATTTCTCATTTTAAGAAAAGCAGTATGCGGGATTTTGATGGGGATTGCGTCTCAAATGACATTGTTTCTCAGATCTCCACAGAGCAACTAAAGTCTGTTGCACTGAGGTACTGGAAACAGGCCCTGCAGATGACAAAGCCCAAGAAAGTCCTGGCAGAGATGTTATTGGAAATAATTGACACTCTGTCTAATAATATTTTGGACCTCTTGAGTCAACCAGAGTGCCCCCTGGTGTCACAGGAAGACATCAGCAGAGCTCTGGAGCCCTGTCTGACGGATATCTTTGATTTCCTATTGAGCACCTCACACGACGCGTGTGCTCCGCTCTTCAAGGCCTTGAGCGCAGTAGTGTGTAGCAGTGTCAACGCTGGGCAGAGCCACAGTGAAATACAGCCCAAAACCTCATACGTGCCCCCCAAAGAACATCTGGTCAAAATGATGCACTTGATCAAACCCCTTTTACGTTTCGCCAGAGATCAGGAATGTCGGAAACATTACTCGGAGCCTCTGCCTGATGTCGCACAGCAGACCAATGCTGTGCGCCATCACAGCACAGACTTTAGCACACGTGGTCCTCAAGTGTCGGAGGAAAGTGAATGCTCGGATTCTGAGAATGAAACCAGATCTACAGAGATGAAAGTCAGCTCTGACACCAGGAAAGTGACTCCACCAATGGCGTCCAAAAACACCATAATACAAATTCAATACATCGCTGAAGAGGCTGCTACGGAAATGTTGCTCAAGGGCCAGGAGAACAAGTCTAAGGAGCTGCTGAGACCACTATGTAAGGACCAGGAAGCCGCTTCACAGGTGGAAATCCAATGGAACGACCAGCATTGGTCTTACCTGCTGCTAGAAGTGTGCTTTCGGGTGTTGGCTACCTCAGAGGAAATGAATATAGAGCAACTCTTCCAGCTTCTCTTGAAGTATGTGGAGCAACACAAATCTGAATGTATTGTTCGGGTCAAACCTGATCTGCATCACATCAGAGAAGCAGCTAATGCGATACACCAAGCTGTGATTGCAAACCTTGGGGAGTGGATGCTATTCACAATCATGGTGGAACCTGAGTTCAGCGCCGCCATCATCACAGACTGCATCCTGAAAAGGGTAAGCATGCCACAACAAATAGGCTTTATCCAGGAAAGAGCCTCATTGGAGTCTTTTGATGAGACCAACACATCTCTAAAATCAGAGACAGCACACAAGACACCAGACATGGTGTACAGGGCGTGGTTGGACTATAAAGCGAGAAAGAAAGCCCCCTCTGTCTAAGTTTTGCTCCTATTTTGTTGTTTAAATGTGATATCGCTCACTCTACTGTTTTGGCACGCTGCGCTGCGAGTATCCCTACAAGCCATGCCGCCTAAAAAAGGCCCGACACCCGAGGAATGTGAGGACATCAGAGCCTCGCTGAAGTTCCTGACTGGGGAGATGGCTTCTGTCCGGGAGCAGCAGACACAACTCCTAGCTTTGCTGGAGTTGGTAAACACCCTGCGTGTCCAAAGCGAGGAAAAAGACCGCCGCATCGAGAATCTGGAGCGGCGAGTTGACGAAATGGAGCAATACAGCCGTATCAATGATCTCATCATCACCGGAATAAAAATCAAACCACGCTCGTACGCGCGTGCAGTGGTCACAGATGCAGTCGGCGGGCAGCCCAGTGAGGAAGAGACGTCCTCCGTGGAGCAGCAGGTGTCCTCCTATCTCCTCTCCAAAGGAATAGGGCTGGACCCGGACCACGTCGAGGCATGTCACCCACTGCCTTCAAGAAACAACGAACGACCCGCTGTCATCATCCGGCTCGTAAACAGAAAAAACAAAGTGGCGCTATTGAAGCAAGGACGAAAACTAAAGGGAACTAATGTTTACATAAACGAGCACCTCACAAAGAAGAATGCGGACATTGCAAGAGAAGCCAGACAGTTGAAGAGACAGAATAAGATTCAACACACCTGGGTGTCAAATTGTAAGATCTATATAAAACTAAATGGCCCCCAGAAAATGCAAAGGTACTTGTGGTGAGAAGGAGAGAAGAACTGGACAAATACAACATTTAAAAGGTAAAACTACACCACACAGCAAACTTGAACAATATATTTAAGCATGACTGTTACATCTGCTACACAATCTAACAACAATGAAATGGACACGCAACAATTAACTCTTCTATACAAACAAATGGAACTGGACACTGTTGAGTTCATGGACACGCCACATTTTATCAGAGATTGATCCAGATAACAATTTTTTGTCTTCACTTCATCAGTGGAGCTGTAACTACTTCACTCAAGATGATTTCAACAAAAGTATGAACATTGCAGGAAAGTTATCGATAATCCATTTCAACAGTAGAAGCATGTATGCAAATTTCATCGCTATAAAATATTTTCTGCAGCAGTTCAAAGACCCATTCAGTATAATTGCACTCTCAGAAACTTGGATCAACATAAATAAAGAGTGTGACTTCTATTTAGATGGCTATGAATTTACTTGTATTAACAGAGAGAGCAAAACGGGAGGTGGAGTTGCCTTATTTGTTCACAAGTCAATACCTTACGAGACAGTCTCCAGTATGTCTATTGTTGTTGATGACATAATGGAGTGCCTTACCATAGAAATACGAAATGAGTCCAACAAGAATATTATTGTAAGTTGTGTATATCGATCACCAGGATCAAGTATAGATGATTTTACTGAATGGGTGGAGAGATTATTTAGTCCTGTAAACCAAAAAGAGCTATTTATCTGTGGGGACTTTAACATCAACCTGCTGAATCCAACTCAACATAATGCCACAAAGGATTTTTCTGATACTATGTATAGCATGTCTCTATATCCAACAGTAACAAAACCAAGTAGACTTACAGTGCACAGTGCCACATTAATTGATAACATTTTTACTAATATAATGGAAAAACCTATCACGAGTGGACTGTTTATATGTGACATTTCTGACCATCTGCCAGTCTTTAGCATACATGACTGTGATTTAAAAAGCAAGAACAAACCTGATAAAAAGATGATATACAAAAGGGAAAGATCTGAAGCAAATCTCATTGCCTTCAATAATAGTTTAAAAGGACAGGATTGGAACTCTGTTTTTAATCAGTCCGATGTAAATATTGCCTATGATAACTTTATCGAAACATTTGTTTGTCTTTATAATAAGCACTGTCCTATTAAACTATATCGTAAGACCAAAAGCATAATAAACAGTCCATGGCTTACGAGGGGAATCCTGAACAGTTGTAAAAAGAAACAGAATCTTTATAGAATCTTCATCAAGCTAAAGACTAGTCAATCAAATACAAAAAAAAATTGAAGACGCTGAACAAAGGTACAAGACCTATAAAAATAAACTAACAAATATAATTCGGTCTAGTAAGCAATTATATTATACAAGAATTCTAGAAGAAAATAAACATAATATTAAAAAAACTTGGGGCATACTAAATAGTGTAATAAAACAAGGATCATCTAAAAAAGTGTATCCTAATTACTTTGAAGATATAAGTGGTGACAATCATGACATGAACAAAATAGTAAATGGTTTTAATTGTTTCTTTGTAAATGTTGGTCCTCAATTGTCAAATGAAATCCCTGTTCAGAGTTCCCCACCAAGCAGTGATGGAATCGAAACAAATCCGTACTCAATTTTTATCACAGCAACCGATGAACAAGAAGTAAAAGAAACAGTACTCAAATTTAAAAGTAAACTTTCTACAGACTGTGACGATATCGACATGGCACTTGTAAAATTAGTCATCCATAATATTGTTAAACCTCTGACGTACATTTGTAATCTATCCTTCCAGTCTGGTTGTTTTCCGAACAAAATGAAAGTTGCTAAAGTTATACCAGTATTTAAGAGTGGGAACAGCCATAGCTTTACAAATTACAGACCAATTTCCCTGCTGCCACAGTTCTCAAAAGTTTTAGAAAAAATATTTGCTGCTCGGTTGGAAAAGTTTGTTGAAAAATATGGGCTGTTAAATGAGAGTCAATATGGATTCAGAGCGAAAAGAACCACCAGCATGGCCTTAACTGAGGCAGTTGAAGAGATAACAAATGCAATAGAACACAAATTACATGCAATTGGAATTTTTATAGACCTGAGAAAAGCTTTCGATACCATTAACCACTCAATATTGTTGGTAAAGCTTCAGAAATATGGTGTCAGGGGTGTAGCGGGGAACTGGCTAAAAGATTATCTCACAGAAAGAGCACAGTTTGTTCAAATGGAAAATTATGTCTCTGAAAGTCTTGGCATTGCGTGTGGTGTCCCCCAGGGGTCAGTGTTGGGACCTATGTTGTTTAACCTGTACATTAATGATATTTTCAATGTGTCAAAGTCTTTAAAACTAATTCTTTTTGCAGATGACACTAACATTTTCTACAGTAGTTCGGACTCATCAGAATTAATCAACACTGTAAATATTGAGCTAAATAAACTTAAAAAATGGATGAACACAAATAAATTGTCATTAAACGTAAATAAAACAAAAGTAATGACATTTGGTTACACGAAAGCATGTCCAAATTTAAAAATTTTCATTGATGGAGCCAAAATTGAAAATGTTACTGAAAACAAATTTCTAGGGGTAGTTATGGACAACAGCTTATCATGGAAAGCTCATATAAGTCATATAAAGACCAAAATAGCAAAAAATCTCTCAATTATAAATAAGGCTAAACACTACCTTGATACTCACACACTACGCTCGTTATATTGTTCATTGGTTCTACCCTATCTGACATACTGTGTCGAAGTGTGGGGGAACAATTACCATTGTACAATAAAACCTTTATTATTATTGCAAAAACGAGCTGTGCGAATCATTCACAAAGCAAGCTACCTACAACACACTCATGAACTTTTTACCCAATCTAAATTATTGAAGTTTCCAGACCTTGTTAAGCTCTACACATCAATTGTGCTATTTAAAGCATTAAACAAATTGCTACCATGTAAAATACAACAATACTTTATTCTTAATGAAAAAACATATAATCTAAGAGGTCTTGGAAACTTCAAACTTCCAAAATTCCGATCGACTCGTAAAAGTTTCTGTGTGACTGTATGTGGCGTGAAATTGTGGAATGTTCTTGATCTCCAACTAAAACAATGCCAAGACATTCATAGATTTAAATCACTGTACAAAAACAATGTTTGGTCTGACTATAGAGGGAATATGCCTTGAATATATCTTCATGTTGCCATGTATGTATGTTTCTTGTATGTTTGTAATTGCCCCTGTTGTTGTTTCTTTATCATTGCTGTATCCTTACCATTGTTGGTATTGTCTGTTCCTTACCATTGTTGGTATCGTCTGTTCCTTACCATTGTTGGTATTTTCTGTTCCTTACCACATTGTTGGTATTTTCTGTTCCTTACCATTGTTGGTATTTTCTGTTCCTTACCATTGTTGGTATTTTCTGTTCCTTACCATTGTTGATATTTGCTGTCCCTATGTACCATATTCGTATTTACTGTCTTTACCATTGCTGGTATTTTCCTTATGCATTTGTTTTGCATCCTTGTAATACGTATCTTGTGTGTATATGTCCTTAAACCCATTAATTGCTACTTAAAAAACCTGAACAGTTGATTCAAATGTGCCATTTGATTTGTTTTTTGTACTTGAGCAAATGGGAAGCTCAATGAATAATGTTTTGTTTTGTTTTTTCTTTAAGGCACCAGGGGTGGGATTAAATAAGTTTTCTTCTTCCCACTCCTTTTCGAGTATCTGTAAGTGTTTCTTTTGTGTATATAATATTCATAATTTTGTATAATGTAGATATTATCAGTTATTATTATAGATCCATTATTATCAGATCCATGTTATTATTATAGATCCATGTTATTATATTATAGATCCATGTTATTATTATGTTCATTATTATAGATCCATGTTATTATATTAGATCCATGTTATGTTTAATAGATCCCATGTTATTATTGTTATTATTATAGATCCATGTTATTATTATAGATCCATGTTATTATTATAGATCCATGTTTTATTATAGATCCATGTTATTATTATAGATCCATGTTATTATTATAGATCCATGTTATTATCATAGATCCATGTTATTATTATAGATCCATGTTATTATTATAGATCCATGTTATTACATAGATCCATGTTATTATCATAGATCCATGTTATTATTATAGATCCATGTTATTATTATAGATCCATGTTATTATAGATCCATGTTATTATTATAGATCCATGTTATTATTATAGATCCATGTTATTATTATA